CTGGGTGAATCCATTTGTGTAAAAAGGGGAGAACCTCTCAACACGAAGTCTACTATAAAATGTATTGTTAATTCTATTGTAAAAATATATTGTTGGTCATTTTGCTATAACTATGCATTGTTGGTAATTTTACTATATAATTTTATTATAAAAAGATCTCAACACATACCCAGAAGGGACACTCAGCATCGACTACACAGCTTTATGTACCCTACAGTGATTGACTGAGGGAAGGAACATCAGCTGACATTAATAAACTTGTCGTTTGTTCAAATGCACATTCTTCGGGTATTCCCCATTCCCAGGGTGGTGCTCCTTTTTGTAATAACGCAGACAGTGGACCAAGAACAGTGCTGATGTTATTTAAATACCGGCGGTAATAATTAACAAAAGGTAAAGAAGTGCGCAATTGCGATATTTTTTTGTATCTGTGTTCTTTGAATCGCATTAATGTTATCTTGGGGTGGGTGAATTCCTTTGGAATCAATCATGTGACCCAGGTAAACTATTGACGAGTTGCCAAACTTACATTTCTCACTTTTAAGGCGAAAGCACACATCTGGTAGTCTTTTTAATGTCAAACGGAGATTTTAGTTATATTCTTCCACATTTTTGCCCAAGATTAAAATGTCGTAGATATAAGCAGCAGTCATTGGTATATCTTGAATTAACTGGTCTCTAGTGCATTGAAAAATTCATTGCGAAGAGGCAATTCCAAAACACAATCTGGTGTCACTGAAGAGATCTTTATGAGTGGTTGTAGAAGTTAATTCTTGTGACACTTCCTCCAGAAAGAATATGTAAATATGCGTAAATATCTCGTAAAACAATTGAATACGTCTATATTTTGAATTGGGTACTTGTCTGTCTGTAAGGCAGAGTTTACTGTCTGTTTGAAATCGCCACAAATCCTAACTTGACCATTTTTCTTTGACACTTGAACGATGGGGTAGGCCCTATCAAAAAAAAAGTATCTGGTTCGATAACAGCAGTAGTAACCATGCGATCCAGTTCGGCCTCAATCTTTTCTCAAAGTGTTAGCGGTATGAAACGGGTGGTACTGTTATGTTTGACATACAGCTTCGCTGATGCATCTTTCAAAGTGCACAAGCCTGATTTAAAAGACTCGGAAAATTTTCGCTCCAAGTCGGTCCACGTAATTTGGTTACAAGTAGCCGGTATATTAATTGGTAATCTTTCCAAGCCATGCAGTCCAAGAATAACGGTTGCCGATCAGAGTAGAACTAGCATAAATTATAGGCTCTCTTTTGGTGTTTCACAGTCAGGTTGGCAACTCTCTTAGGATCAATAATATGCCGGGAAGACTACGCAATTTTTGTATTAAACCCTTGTTAGAAAACAGAGCATTAAGTAGTTTCATGAATCGCTCCTCGTTTAACAGATGAACACCTGATATTGATGTCCTTTTCACAGTTGATCCAATTTAACTCGAGTTTACACCTATAATGTTCAGGTGCATTGGAATTAATCCTATATAATGATATATCCGGTGTGTTTTATTCATGCATTTAGGAAGACTGCTTTGCCTGTTGTTTGTTTTTGCATTTTCCTGAAGGGTGATTCTTGTTTTCACGATTAAAACAAATTTTGTCACATACTAGACACTGTATACGCCTTTTGTTCCATTCTCACCCGCATCAAAACTGTATTTTTCCTCTTTTGAAATTCTGTAGAACTCTAACTCGGCATTTTGTGTATGTCGTTCATACTTCAATTATTAATGATTGTCACTTCAGTAGCTGCCAATTTCATGGTCCGAGCCACTTGAAAAGCATTTCTATGTGACGTCCTCAGATAACAGTCCTTTTTGAATGCTCTCATTATTTAATCCACACACAAATTTGTCCTGTAATGCTCTTTCTGAAAATATTCCAAATTCTCACGTTGACGATAAACATTTAAGCCGAACAAACAAATTTGAAACAGACTCACTCACTTCTTGCTTGGAATTCTAAAACCGGTGACTTTAGGCGATGACGTGGTGGTTGGGCTTGAAATATTCGAGTAACAAATACTTAATTTCCTCAAATGTTCTTTCACTCGGCTTCTGTGGTGCATTTTGTGGATATGTGGGGAAGATAACGGTTAACTCTACAGTTGAACAGGTTAAGGTTGTAGTCATCGGAGAAGCATCCTCTTGGGAGTCGGTTCCACAAGATTTTTGGACTATCAACACCTCTATGGGTTACTTATTGCCTAAATCTAAATAGACTGTACGCAATTTTATGGTTTCAACTAGATATCTTGTAAATATTTTTTATACCTTCAGGGCAAATATATATCTCTAAACTTGACCATGTCTCTCAAACCACTCCTCATTACCCCCTCTGTTAAATTACAGACTTACACTACCCATCAAAAGTGTAAATTTTCATTTCATTTTTCGTCTCATCTTTTGGAAGTGCTATCTGATGTTCCAGCGTCCTTTGAAAGGGCTCTGGTGAAATGAATTATTATAATGGAACCTTAAAGTGGTCTGTTTTTCTTTAATATATATATATATATATATATATATATATATATATATATATATATATATATATATATATCGACTCTTCCGTCGAATACAACTTATGAGGGTCAAGCAGATCAGTTCCTAGAAACCGCCAGCCCGACAACATCACATGAGATTTGATTGTAGTGATGAAGGTTTCGTGCAGGACCATCCACACTTTTTGAAGGGCCGAATACAGAGACCTGGTGCACTAAGTGCCACAAAGTCCCCAAACAACCCTCCGCAGGTTTTGAATTCAGAGTTGTCCTTCTCCCAGACCAGTAGTAGAGTAATGGATAGCGGTTTGGATTGAGGAATTAGAGAGCCGAGTTCGAATTCCAGTCGAATCCATTACATTCACTTACGTGCTAATACCCTTGGGAAAGGTGTGAATTCTCCCCTCCCTCCAGCTATGAGTAAATAGCAGGACAGACTGGGTTCTATAGTCTTGAGTGGATGGCCACTGGTCTAGGAGAAGCATATATATATATATATATATATATATATATATATATATATATATATATATCTTAGGTATATTGTTTGTAGTTAAAAGATATTGCTGATAATTCTACCATAAAATGTATTTTTTTACTTTAGTATTGATTGTTAATTTAGCAATAAAATGTATTACTATTTGTCATTTTTTTCAAATATATTGCTAGGACCATAATTTAATTTTATACTTTCTTAGTGAATCACTAAACAAAAATCAAAACATTATTTTCCCTATAGCTAGGACCCTAACATGTGCAACCACCTCGCTTTAGGGTGAACATGACAACAACAGCAATTAAGAGAGGGTTACACGCTTCTCAAAAACTCCAATCTCTCGATCAGCGTCCTTGCTTCCAGATGTAGTTTATCGTTAGCTCGCGAAACCATATGAAATATACGACGTGACACTCTAAAATTTGTGTATTCAGGCAACAAATTCTCTTTCAGGTATTTCTGATTAAATAAATTATAGACGTTATGTCTGCTTATTTTTAACATAATCCGTTTATACTCACGAATAACCTTCCATCTATTGCAATTAAATGATTTTATTTCCCAAGTACTTTCGATCTTTTTCCGAGATCATCTTCAGGGGTGCAAGTATTAATACAAAACTGTGTGTTGTAATTTTTTTTATTTTAAATGCAACAGTCATGCTTAGCATTCATTAGAACATGAAAAAAATTATCCATTATGGAATTTTTTCTTCTATGTTGTCTGATTGTTAACCGTTGCATTTAAAATAAAAAATAAAAAATTAAAGTAATGGCTAGCAACACATATTAAAGTAATGGCTAGCAACACATTATACTGTTAAAGTAATAGATGACAACACATTATATTATTAAAGTAATGGATAGCAACACATATTATTAAAGTAATGGATAGCAACACATTATATTATTATTTGCACCCCTGAACAACACACAGTTTTGTATTACTACTTGCACCCCTGAAGATGATCTCGGAAGAAGATCGAAAGTACTTTGGAAATAAAATGGATTTTCACAGTTATAGCACATTTCTCACATCATTTAATTGCAATGCACGGAAGGTTATTAGTGAGTATGAAGGGATAATGTTAAAAAGAAGCAGGCATAAGGTCTGTAACTTATTTAATCAGACGCGAGACTGGTATGTAAAGTTTCTGATGTGATGGTCGTGTTTTGCAAAAAATTCTATCGAAAAATGTGTTGCGTTGACTTGTAAAAGACGTCGCTAAAAGTGACAGGTTTTTCTTTTTAGGCAAATTCTATTCTAAACCACATTCTTTGGCATCAACTATATTCTTGTGTACGAAAGGCAAGTGACTCCTCCCCAAATTAAATTCTTTACTTTAATGTCTGCCCATTTGTTACGGCATGGTGATTATCTGGAAAATAATTTTCTCCGGGTCACAATTATTAAACTTATATTTTTTTTAAAAATCCCGGCTGAACGTTTATTTGAATCAGTATGCTCTTTTTATAAATAGGCAATTTCCCATCGGCATGTCTATTCCAGTCATCACTCATATTTAGTTTGGATAGAGCCGTTGAAATCAGGATGCCGACATGGTAAATCTTCGGATACAATTACGTAATTTAACGCACTTTGAGTCGAGCAAAGAAAGATAAACAGTAAAAAGATTAAATAAAAACAAACAAACAAAAAACAATAAAAGAAAAGCGTAAAGAAATGCGTACCAAGGGCAGATAACTCTTGGGAACATAATTCTTGTCGCCCGCCTTCTACATTCAGCGTTGAGTCTACTTGGGCCACGGTTCGCTTATTTTCTGGTTGAGTGCTTCTGTCTTCAAGCCACTCCAAGACTGTCAGGCAGAAACCTTTTAGCGAAGTAGGGAGCCAATTCCTGGTAAGAAATGAGAAGTGAAGAAACGAAAAATCAAATCAAATAAAGAAATAAAAAGAAAGGAACAACCAGTAAATCGCTTCCTTGTTAGATGCAAAACGCTTGACTTTTTTGCTTTCTAAGAATTTACATAACATGGCTTTTGTTTATGTCGCTTTAACCCTTTTTCAGGGACGGTTTTTCTTTTTACGATCTTTAATTTGCTTATTTCGTCGCCTATCATTTTATTTTTCCTTCCTTCCTTCATTCTTTCTTTCTTTTGTTTTTCTTTCTTTCTTTCATTGTTCTATCAAATGCAGATTTTTATTTCGTTTTTTCTTTCTTCTTTTTCCCCTTATATAAAAAGTTTCATCTTTCTTTCTTTCTTTCTTTCTTTCTTCCTTTCTTTCTTTCTTTCTTTCTTTCTTTCTTTCACTGTTCTGTCAAATGCAGATTTTTATTTCGTTTTTTTCTTTCTTCTTTTTCCCCTTATATAAAAAGTTTCATCTTTCTTTCTTTCTTTCTTTTTTCTTTCTTTCTTTCTTTCTTTCTTTCTTTCTTTCTTTCACTGTTCTGTCAAATGCAGATTTTTATTTCGCTTTTTTTTTCTTCTTTTTTTCCTTATATAAAAAGTTTCATCTTTCTTTCTTTCTTTCCTCCTTTTTTCTTTTCTTTCTTTCTTTCTTTCTTTCTTTCTTTCTTTTTTTTTTTCACTGTTCTGTCAAATGCAGATTTTATTTCGCTTTTTTTCTTTCTGTTTTCCTTTATATAAAAAAGTTTCATCTTATTTTCCTTTCTTTCTTTCTTTCTTTTTCCTCATTTATCATTCTCACTTCATTTGTCATTACTTTATTTCTTCCTTTTTCTCCTATTTTCATTTAATTTTTTTTTCCTAGGAATGTTAAACTTATAAAGCTGCAAGACAAATTCTGTTCTGAAAGATTGTCTAACACGTTATATTGAACCAGTTTTCCTCGAAGTATATTTAGCAATTTATTCGATATAATTGTTCTAATTCAGTTTTGTGGAAAACGTTAGACAGGAAACCGTTATGAGTTTTACTGTCATGGTGGCTACACAATTGAAGTCACAAAAGCTTTTCTAAGTTTATTAGAAGATAAGAGTTTAGTTTAGAAGCTTGTTAAAATTCTTTTCTTTTCTTTATTTTTCATTTTCTTGCGTCAAATTTACCCTTTTTCTTTCTTTTCGTTCTTTTTGTCTATCAACTACAGTGTTTCTTTTCTTTCATCTTTCTCTTTTACTTTATTTCATTTACTGTTTTATTTTTATCTTCATTCAAACTTATTTTTAAGTTCTCTTTTGTTTCAATCATTACCATTTCCTTTCTTTTCTCTTCTTTCTTTTCTTCGAAGAAATATAGCTTTTTCTTTTACTCTCTTCCTTTTGTCTTTTTCTTTCGTCTTTTCTCTCTCACTGTTCCGTTTCTTTCTTTCTTTCTTTCTTTCTTTCTTTCTTTCACTGTTCCATCAAATGCAGATTTTTCTTTCGCTTTTTTCTTTCGCTTTTTTCTTTCGCTTTTTTCTTTCTTCTTTTTCTCTCTTATATAAAAGTGTCATCTTTCTTTCTTTCTTTCTTTCTTTCTTTCTTTCTTTCTTTCTTTGTGTCCAATTTTTCGTCATATGTTTATTTTCTGTTGACTTTCTTCTTTCTTTATTTCTCGACTGATTTTGCATTGTTAAATCCCGAAGAATTCCTCACCGAGAATGTTCCTGTTTATTCTTTCTCGTCCCTGTGTTACCTAAGTATATTTATTCTATATTATCGTCGACATCACTGCAATCTTGAACAGAATCATCCCTTCGATCTCTCGTCTCCACTCCACTATCATTATCATTCCCAAATAACATCCACCATATAGTCAACACACACACACACACTTAGCAACTTGACTTGACCAAAATAGGTCATGGTCAGCACGATCAAAGGATGACTTTCACATTCAATAATACGACGTGGGTGAATGTGAGACATGATGCTGTTAAAGTAAATACACATTGCAAATCACATGCCCAACAAGCTACACGTTATGTGCTTATGTAGATTTGGAAAGGGATCGCGTATATAAAGTAACCAGTAAGTATCTGTGATTGCACTCCCACAGTGGACCTTATTTCCGACACTTCTGGTGCGATGGTGCTTGAAACCACAATTCTGGAAATGGTTAGCGGATTTGGGAAATTTCGGCACATGTTCAGCACTTTCTTTTTTGTCTGTTTCTATTTCCATTCAACCTCAACCATTCCTCGATAAACTGAAATGAGTTTTAACATCTTTAGGAAGGCAAGCTGCTGTTAAAATTCCTGGTAACCATGAACATTTTTAACAATGTAAATAATGCATACAAATGATTGCAGAAAAATGTAATATACCAAGTCACTGTAAAATAGCAGATAACGAAGGAAAATATACATAGGAGTAAATGAAGGACCTTGGAAATAAAGAAACTACACACAAAAATTCCTTTATAAATAGTAAATACGTGAACAGTCCAATGCTTTCTAAACATCTTTTGTGAGATTAAAAAACGAAAACAAATCACACCAAAAATATCATGGAAAACAACATCAGCCTGCGGTAATCAAACCTTGGAGGAAAAATATCTATAATTACCTTCACAGACCAAAACAAACTACTAAATAAACGATCAGGATTTATCTCAAAATGCAGACACGAAAACAAATTTTTACTACGTAATTTAAAAATCGAAAACTGAAAACGGCAAGAATAAACGAAAATAAATAAATAAAATAAACAAGAACAAGTCAAATAAATGAATCCAAACAAATACGTAAATAAACTAAGTACATAATAAAGAAATTGACAACTACGCTAACCAAGGCAACTGTTTGAATCATACAATAGACTACCCACAATGCATCACTGTCCTGTATATATAAAAGTCGAGTAAAAAGCACAACGCACATGACCTGACGGTTGTTTTTAGCATGAAATGGATGATCACCGCTGGGTATTGGCTTCAATGTCCACTTTTATTGTTACATACGTTTTATCCCTGATATTGAGCACCTTAAGCTATAAACATAGCATACCACAAAAAGTACATTTTAACACACACACACACACACACACACACACACACACACACACACACATATATATATATATATATATCAAACAGTACGAATTAAGATTATATTAGGTTAATGATGATTTTTACCTCGTAAATTGAATTAGAATTTACAAGGATTTTTCAAACCAATCAATAATTTATCATCCATTGACTGGTTTGAAAAATCCTTGTAAATGTTATTTCAGTTTACACGGTGAAAATGATCATTAACCTAAGTAATCTTAATTCCTATTGTATAAAATATGTTGCTCCGATTGATTAAAACATGGAGCTCTATTTGTCAATCAGTTTTGATATTTAATATTTTATATTGTATTAATAGGATCCACTTGGATTATATTCCAATACCTTAACACACACACACACACACACACACACACACACACACACACACACACACACACATATATATATATATATATATATATATATATGAGATAACGATTATATGTGTTTATATATGAAGATCAATATTGGAGAAAAATGTATGACAAAGTGGAAAAAAGTTTTCTTATTACCCGTTTCGTCCTTTACGACTTCATTTAATTAAATTTGTTATGTTGGTGCAAGTACACATGCGCACGAATGAGGAATGCTGGGAATTTTAAGTTTAATTCAGGTGACTGGAATTTCGAACCGAGCCCTGTATTTCGTCCACCGGGAGTAGATTGTTCTAGTTCCACATGTCATGCCTCTTCCGCATGTCTCGGTTATTTCCCTTTTAACTCAGCTCTCTATGTTTAGTTCACCACTGCTGTGCCTTGGTATTGAACTCACAACTCTAGTCACTGGATCTAATAAACGTCGTTATCCACTAGGCCATGTCTCCTTGAGACATGGCACGTGGAACTAGAACAATCTAACCCGGTGGACGAAATAAAGGGTTCTGTTCGAAATTCCAATCACTTTCTAATCTCAGAGATATAGACAGATAGTTTAGAGGCTTGTTAAAATTAACAATCTTGCTCCATATCTTGCTCTAGTGAACAATAAATGGATAATTTTTTTTAGATCAGCAGCCAGTTTGACTTCATTGAACCGATCAAACTTACCATTACGACAGGAGTAAATAACATCGATATCGAGTCGAGAACTGATCACATCGGGTGGGCCGTATATATTTGGGGCCATTCCGATATGACCGGGAGGGCCTATACGGCCTCCGGATCACATCGGTATAGGTTCGAGGATAAAACATTGGTGACACCCGCATTTATATAGGAAATTAAAAAAAAATATTGCCTTTCATAAAATTACATTTCTTAACAGGTTTCGAGTGGCTCCTGAATCCATTTTCCTTGGTGCCGTACTTCGAGGAAGGATTCGGTGGTGCCAAACTTCGAGATCTGAATAATATCTTATTGATAGGGGCTTAGCTCGTTCCATTACCTTGTCATTTTTTGTTTGGTAAAGAACCCATTTAATTTTAACTCTGGCCTCCCCGTTGCAAGAGGGTATATACAGTTTGCGCTCTTATACATATTATAGTCCTCAAGTGATTTGATTTCTGTTAGTTGCTATTGTTCTTTTATTCGATAATGTAGCGTACAATGTTCGAAGAATAATGGTTTTGCTAAAACCTACTCTGATTCCATTCGCTCAAAACCATTTTAACCACTTATCTCATAAAGTAATTGTGTAAAGCTGATAGTCTTTCTGAACGAGTTGGCCGGCATGTGTTACATTCATACGAAAGTCCCGGTCTCATGAGACTATTTAAAAAAATAACCCTAGTTTCTAGGTTAATGGTTTGTTTTTGTAGCAACTTATGATGTTAGTCGAAACTACATCTATTTTCATGTTCCTTATAATCAATACTAAATTTGTTATGAGTAGTCGATACACCGAGTGTGACGAAAGACATGATTTACCTCAGAATTCGAAACGAGCGCGAACGTGTCTTATTTGCAAAGTAATGACAAAAAGAAATATGGCCGCTATTGAAGACGCAATTTATGTGCGCCTATCTCGTCCAAAACGAGACGATATTTGCAGACATGCAAATTTTGGCCGTATTGGAATAGCATAAAAAGCGGAATACCAGCAGTACGACAGAACAGGAGTCATTCGGCGGACTGCGTAGAATAGAGCTGGACGAGAGGAAGTCGAAGTAGGCGCGGCTGAGTTGGTGTCTGTTTCAAAACTTTCCAGTGTAACGGCTGAGAAAGGGAGTCACGCAATTCATTTCCTTGAGGCGAGCGAAGAAGAAGAAAAATAGCTGGCCTGCCGGCGAGCACCGCACTGCACCTTTTGGCCACACCTCATCACCATTTTTTTTCTACACCGAGGCTTTTGGGTATTTTCATAACTTGGATTTTTATGATAGATTCAGAAAAAGTGGCACCATTGCTTTCATTCTAATTCCACATCATATTTCCTTTTTTGAAAAAATCTTGAATTGTATTTCTTGGTAGAAGATATTGATTTTTTGTTCAAAATCCTTCTTATATCATCCTTTTTCATATCGACACCCTTGTGCAAATCATTCTCATATCAACTTTTCATATCTACACCCTTATGCAAATTAATTGAAACAACCACTTTAGTTTCGTTTCTTTCATCATACGGTCAGTTTTAGACCCACCAGAGTGACAGAGTGTAATCGATTTCTATTTTTTTCCTCAGATTAGGTCAGTTGCAGTGATGTGCAGTAATATGAATCTATTTTCCGGGGTGTATGATGAAATTTGTTTGGCTCTGAAAAAATTGCGTCATGCGTGATTGCATGAGATTTTCATCACGCCCAGACACTATTGTCTCGACTGTCAATTACTTGTCCTACGGCCATTGTCTGCGATGGATGTTACTCCAAGGAAGCGTATGTAACGAATTGTAACGCTGCATGAACACACTAGCAAGCTTTACCAGTGAACAAAGCAAAGTACTATGGACTGGACTGGAAACTATCATGTTTTAAAACCAATCGAGAATCTGTAGTCAATTTTCAAGGAATCACTTCGTGGAATTTTATATATGAAGTAATAACGTGTGAAGTGGATCATGTTTAATTGGAAAAATAAGAAAACGATAATAATAACGGAATTAATCGTTTTGTTTCAATTTGCACAATGGTGTATAATTAATGAAAACAATTTATTAAGAATTTTGTTATATAAAGTTCATGTAATAATTAAATCCAATAAATATAACCCGATATTTTTCGATATTGTAAACAAGGTGTACCAAACCCTAACCTATTTCAATCGTCCTGGGTAAGACGTTAAACTACATCCGCGTCCTGGGTAAGACGATAAACTACTCCAGCAGCAAGGCCTCTCATCAGGAGGATTTGAGGAGCCTGGAACTACCTCTTAATTCCTGGTCATCCCAGGTCCACCCTGACCCCGGGTGGTAGCACCTGTTAGAGTTCCAGCTATGGGCAAATAGTTAACTATTACCAGCAATACATTTTTGAACAAAATTATTACCAGCGATACAATTTTCAAACGAAATATATTACCAGAAACAGATTTTTGACAAAAAAATATTACCAGCAATAAAAAAATGTTGTCGGCAATAAGTAACTCATTGAGATTGATATGCCGTGAAACAAAATCAACCAAACCAATCTAAACCAAGGAATACATATTCTATTCATACAAATTTATCCTAAAAATTTTGTCGGCCTTAAATAACCCATTGAGGTTGATATGCCGTAAAACAAAATAAATCAAACCAATCTAAGCCAAAGAATACATATTCTATTCATACGAATCTATCTTGAAAATGTTGTCGGCATTAAATAACCCATTGAGGTTGATATGCCGTAAAACAAAATAAACCAAACCAATCTAAACCAAAGTAATTTTATCTCAAAGAACTGTATATGTCTAAAAGAATTATCGAAAATACAGGTCCAGTAATTCATGAGCTTTAAAAACGGACATTTTAAAAGTTTATATGATAAAAATGATAGAGCGTATGTAAATATAAAAGTGGACTATTGCAGTCAACACTAAGTGGCGACAGTCTGTTTCATACTTAAACGAAATCGTTTGGGCCATGTGTCTTTTTTGTTTAACCATTTATGTATACTGGTCAGTGATGCATTATGGGTAGGTCTATTGTATTATTCTAATACTGATTTAGGTAGGCGGTATCAGATGCGCTTCGAATTATTTTAGGAGGTATTGAGTGGAATGATTGTTGATCCTATGCAACCTTGATAAAGTCCAGCAGAGGACGGAACGCATAGGCTAAGTTTTCCTTTTGTCATTATTCATATTTTCCTTTTACAAATAATGTTCTATCTGAAATTTTGCACGCACAGATATCTATCTATCTATCTATCTATCTATCTGTCTGTCTATCTAGCTATCTGTCTATCTATCTATCTATCTATCTGTATGTATGTATGTATAACATCTAGCGGAGAGAGGTTGTTTTCACGAGAAGGTATTATTGCTATTGATCAAGTGCGTGGCTGCTGAAAGATCATTTGTCTAGTAACAGGAATCTGCACCATGAAGTCAGGAGAAGTCAGTCATGCCAATCAGCGACCTCATCGACCCTTACATCTGGCCAAATAACTCCCCTGTCTGCAAACCTTTTGATTATTATATGTGGGACACAGTTGAGCGAGAGATCAACGAAAGTCTTTCTAACGCCAAAGATGAACTGAAGGCAAGGATTATGGCAGTATTCACCAACTTAAACAAGGAAACTGACCAGAAGAGTTGCAGGAGATTCCGAAGTCATCTAGCGGTTGTGCTTGAAGCCAATGGCAATTTGTTTGAATAAATTTATTCTTTTGTATTTCAGGATACCTTTTGTGTAATTTTATGTAAATATATCTGTTAAAATGAGATGTCTGCATTATTTTTATTTTTGCGTCATTCAGAGGACAATTTTCTATCGCATCTTTTTATATAAAACAACTGAAGTGGAAAAATCCTATATAATGCATTTTGTTTTCTAAAAGGACTTCATCAAGCTAAAGTGATGGTCTTGTTGATGATATTATATATATATATATATATATATATATATATATATATATATATATATATATATATATGAAGAAAGAACAGTAGGATATATAATCCAGTGTTCTTATTGATATTTTATTTTTACAAAACAGTGCTCAATGTAAATTTACAAAGCATAAATATTATAAATTAACTGATTTAAAAATATGATTTCTGCGCTACACAGGAATTACCATGTTTCAAAAACCGAAGCTAAAAATTTTAATTTAATTATATAATTAAATTAAAAGCATTAGTTCCGTTTCATCCTCAAGCGAATTTTGAAATAACTTATTTTTAAATTTACTGAGTTTTAAACGCACATACAATTCATAATTTTTTTTTTCAAGGATACAGAGAAATCCAATCATTTAGACAGGGGCGGTAGCCTGTTCATTTTTATTAACTATTATTGTATCAATTATGAGTTACGTTCGAAAAAGAGGTTAAGTCTAAGGATGGTAGGGGTACGAATTTTTACATCCGTTCAACGCATGTCGTCTATTTTTTTTTTTAACGACAAAAAGTTTTTAAATTTGAAGTTTTGCCTTCGGTTTTTGAAACATGATAATTCTTGTGTAGCGAAGAAACCATATGTTAAATCAGTTAATTTCTAATCAGCACTTTCTATATATTTTAACATTGGTAAATCACTTTCTCTTTTAATTAAAAAACATCATCAGAAGATTTTATATATATATATATATATATATATATATATATATATATATATATGTGTGTGTGTGTGTGTGTGTGTGTGTTTTGAAAATAAAAATATTAAAAAAATCAAATTTTCAGAAAACACTGGGTAGTATATTAATATTTTTTTTTATTATTTCAATTAAGTTTCTTCACTAGTTTCGGCCAGTATGGCTATCATCAGGAGAAAAAAAATTAGGAGAAAAAAATTCTGCTTGTTAGTAGCAGTGAACTACAGGAGTGAATGACTGCTTCTGAGGAAAGTGAACTTCATTTGTAGTTTTCATTTGTTTTTTATCGTTAATTTTGGTCAGTCCTTTTGTTGGCTAAACGGCCCCTTTGAAGTTGTTTTTAAGACAGATGTTAGCAGATTCTTGACTAAGAATTCCTTCCTTGGTCATTTTGACAGTTTTATTGGTTGCTGGGTGTGGGATATTAACTGTATGTTATCTTTTAGTTCTTTGGGAGTCTGTGTGATGTGTATGTATTAGTGTGAGTGTGTCTATAAGTGGGTAACCACATCACCTCTGTAAGCATGTCTGTTTTGTGTGAGTGTAAGAAATGTGGGTAGGGCTTGATTTATGGGGTTATATATTAATTAAATCTATGTTATTAAATTTCTGGTTAAGCCCGTCTGCACGATGTGTTTTGAGGCGCAAAATCCATTTGTCTTCATGTTCCTCTAGTATTTTTCTAACGTCATCTTTTCTGTCTATTTCTATTTTTTCAATCATAGTGAATTATATATTGTTGTAGAGTAGTTTTCACAGTGGAGGCTTGTATTTCACTCAGTCGGTCCTAAATTAGGTTCGACGTACAAAACGTTAGGAACTTGAAAATAATAGTTAATGACGCAGCAATCTAGTTGTGATGGTTGATACTTTAAGGTCTGATATCGACTGACTCACTCAACTCACTGAGCCCCCTGGCGACTGCTACTACCACTACTTATTATATCTGGGAGAGTCTATTTACAATAGAATAGGTATGTTCCGGTATAACACACACACATATATATATATATATATATATATATATATATATATATATATATATATGTCATTCGCAGACAGTACTGTTTCGCAGTATCACTGCTCTTCAGTTTGACTAGACAACCGAATTCCTCAAGCCTGGATTGAAACCCTACCGATTTGGTGTCAGTCAGAGTCTCTACCACTGAGGTATTTATGAATTTTTCCTTCCGTCAAGGTGAAAAGTTTACTTGAAGCTCTGTTTTTTGTTAAAGGTTTTGTTAGCATAACACCGGAACAGATTGAGATAATATTACATTGCCGTAAGTCTGTTTTGTTGCATGATGGAGAAGCATGAGCGAAAAAGTCCAGTGATGGCATCTTTGATGTCCCCCAAGGATCTTTCGACGGGGCTAAGGTTTTTGAATTGATGAGCATTTTCATTTTAAGTTAACAAGATTTTCTGGAGTGACAGTCACGGTATTTACCGGGAAGACTGGCTGATCGTAGTACCAAACAACAAAAGAGCTAATGATTCCACCAGGAAGTAACTTTTTGAACTATTCAAAGATTTTGACATTCTCTCAAACAAGCAGAAAAAAGTTGTTCAATATTTAGATACTGAATTTGTTTTATTGACTGGTACGTTTTCGCAATACATGAAGCCAAACACTATATTGAAATACGGGAATACAAGGTTAATCCACCTGGCGAGTATAATTAAGCACATCACGATGGGCGTTGAGTGCAAGTTATCTAGGAATTCCTCGACAAAGGAAATATTTGAAGAAAAAACAGAATATATAGCAGCATTAAAGGAGGGGCATACCATCGACCTGGGATTTAAACCTCAGGTAAATCCACGAATAATGAACAAAAATAAGAAAAAGTTATTTGCTTCACCCCCTCCACTCTTCATCATGCAGGTGAAAACTAATATCGGAAAGGGATTTTTTGACCTTTTAAGAAAATATTTCCCTAAATCCTCTAAATTGTCAAAGATCTTTAACAGCAACATTGTAAAATTAAGTTTAGCTGTACTGGTAATTTGAGTAATATAGTGAAGAAGCAAAATGCAACGAATTTGGATATAAACGGACAGAAAAAGAGTGTAAGTAATATACGATGTGACTGAAGGAGCAAAAGAAATTGCCCTTTGAACAGAGTGTGCCGCACAGATGATGTGGTTTACCGAGCTGAGGTTAGTGATGACAGTGAAAGTTTACAGCGGATGCACCAAGAGTTCTGTCCATATTTCTGAGATGAGGTATTATGTACATTATTTACATTATTCGGACTATTGTCCTCATCTCTGTCGCCATATTTATTACAACGTTTCGGCCGTTGTACGCTCTGGCCTTCTTCTGGAATGTAGAACTGAACCCTTTATTTCGCTCAATGAGGTAGACTGTTCTAACACCTTTGAGGACACATGGCACAGTGGATAAAGTCGTTAGTTATATTCAGTGACAGGACCCAAAGAGTGTGTGTTCAATACTCGATTAAGACAGTGGAGAACTTTCAGAGGGAAATTTCTTTTCCGTCATGGGCACGGTGCAGTGAAACGTTACCCCTTACCTAGGTAACATCTGATTTTATTTTTTGATAGGATAGGGTAACGTTTCCCTGCACCGTGCCCGTGACGGAAAAGAAATAATGTCTATACTACTTTATTCTCACCTGCCTTTGATAAAAAAAATATTTTATTCAGGGGAGATAATCGGATAATGAGATAACATTTTAAAAATAGAAAAACGGAACCGGAAGAAGATGGCGCCACCATCCACGGGAGAAAGGAGTGGCAAAAAAACGTAAACTCGTCGAGTTCACCGTCCAAGTAAACATTTTCCTAGGCCCGGGTACAGACCTAAAAAGACTAAAATACTCACCGGCACTTAACAAATTAGATCAGGCAGCTAGAGAACACCACTTAGCATACGCCAATCCGTACATAACTACCGAGGAAGCTGATGAAAAATTTCTCAAGGACACACAGGGAACGAGCTCTTGGACTTGACGACTACTTCAGAGGCGATATCGATGGCGTTGGCAACCTTAACAGTGACGCTACTGATTCTATACATAATTTACAGGATATGTAGATCGGAGATTCGGCAGGGCAGAATTCGTCGAAGGGGGAGAAGGGAACGGATGGACGGCTACAGGCATAGGAATAAAGGCTTCCACCGCCTAGCTCAAAACTACATACAGCAACACAGCTTTAACAGAACGTTTAAGAGCTTTATAAAAACGACGGGCATGAATAGCGTTAAAGGGACGTTCACTAAATATCAGGGGCAGACGAAACCGACGGGCAGCATAGAATCGATCGGCCACTTCGTATGGGCACAGCCGGAGTCGGGTGACGTACTTCCTGACGACGATAAGGAACGCAACTTCATACAGAGTGACAAAACAGGGGTTCAGGATAGACAACATTATAGCGGGAGAGTAGATGATCAGGGACAACGAGGAGGTGTTCGTTCCGAATCCGCTGCCGTACTTCGAGCTCTACGTAGGCAAGGGCAATTACATAGGTTCCAGTAACTTGCAAGGCATAACGGGTGTCCCGAACAAGAACATTTCGGAAATACAGCCGATGTGGGGGTACGGACGCCGAACTACCGAAATACAAATACTCTTACGGTTGTCTGATACATTTGCTGAATATCATGTCAAACAGCACGTCGCAGATTATTGCGTCGAATTTACGATGATAGACTTACACGACTGGAGGAGAGAGATGGACAATGTAGTGAAAGTAAGAGAGGGAGATACGTTCACGCACATATAGAATAACCCCAGCCTACAATGGAAACCGCTGTGGATGTTATGGCTATTAGTGCTGGGTTGATTCTTTCACCTAAACATCCAAAACTTGTTGAATTGCCTTCGTCACTGAAATAAATAGACAAAGAAAAAGGCGGAAGGATACGGAGACACTAGAGGGACAGTTTAGGACACTGATTTTATTTCCTTCTTTTGGATTCCAACGACCTCTTGTTGGGGAATTTCCTTCTCGACCTATTGGCACGTGTTCACAGTCAAAGGTCCAACAGAGAAAGAGATAGATTCTTCTAGTTTATTTTTGGCGCCAGGAAATCTCTCTTTTTGCACATGCGTAAATTGTCTTTCCTGTCACAGGACTCCTGGGAGATTTTTATGTTTATTTTATTTTGTATTTTTATTTAATTTTGTACTTTTATTTAATTTTGTATTTTTATTTTATCCCCACACCGCTGACAAACATTTATGTGCAAGACCAGTACACGATAATGGGGGCGATGATGGCTGAGTCACGCTTAATCTCTTCAGAGATTCAAGCCGGTTACCCGACAGCTTGGGACGGTGGACTCGACGTAGCGACGGGGCCTAAATTTGGAACACTAGACGATGAGTCAAATTGGATGCACGAGAAGAATAGAAAGAGAATGAGAGCAGACAATCAGGACATAGCTATGCTCGAGGTAGCTGACATAAATTACGACTATCAAGAGACGGTCAGAGATAATAGCGTACCGATATCTAGCACAGACAAAAACTTATTCAAATGCGTATCGGGTTCCTTCTGCGTACCAAACAGGACAGCAATAAACAAGATACAGTACACGTTAAAGGACAGTCCAGAGATGGTGCTGATACACGTACCACGACCCAACAGCCAATCGGGGACTCTCTACTTTACTTTCGAGTTGACCTACATGTTGGAGGTGGATGGTTTCACGAAAGCCTGCAGCATCCACAGAAAGTGCCTGTAACAAACAAGGTCTGTTCAGAGGCGGCGGTGGGTCCAGACATTACATTACGACCAACCGCTGACCGTCCCGACCAACAGGCAACTTTACGGCCAGATACCGAAGGGATTGGTCCACGGAAGGACCAATGAGGTCTTCACCAACACGGCAGAAAATGAATCTTTACGCATGAAAAGCGGCAACTTTCTTTCGTGTTTCGGTTGTAGGATTCATTTGAATTCGGCAGCGTCTTCAGTAGCTGCCGAATTCAAAATGAACCCTACAACCGAAACACGAAAGACTGCGTCAAGAAGGAAGAATTCAACAGGTATATTCTCCAAGACGAAAAAACAGGCGACAAAACGCTGCAATGTTACACGTGGATCTATCGGTGGGAATCGCCAAGCGAGTTCCGGAATCACATACCAACTAGTAACGAGTTGCTGACTGGGAAAAATTTTAACGAGACACAAAACAACGATGCTTTACAAGTTATTAAGACTGTTAAATAACAGTTTAGCAGAAGTATATCTCCGCTCGGACTTCCTGGGATTGACCTTTGACGTCACATACAAGACAAAATAAAGGAAGTCGATTTTGATTGGCTGAACGAGCGTGGGAATGATAGAGATATAGAAAATGATTTCAGGACGTGTTTCCTTTTCGTTTCTGGAAACTGTTTCTCAGTGGAGGGAGAACAAACCCACTGGATAGTTAGAAATGTATACTTCCACGTTAATAAAATAGTTAAAAAAATAAGTTTAAAACACTTTAAAAATAAAAATTAAAAATAAGTTTAAAATAGTTTAAAATTCCCTTTGTTGATGTCTTTTCATCTCCGGACTCCAAAACATTTCGCCCCCCTCCCCCGGTTGGGAGGATACGAGCGAAGGGAGGAAAGATACGACATTGTATTAGTTGGTGCAGTGACCAAGAGCTTCCCAGGGGATATTTATTTCGTTTTACAATAGCTTCTAGGAATTTCAGTTACTCCTTACATGGTGTGATGTCTTGGTTTGGTCTAAGCAAATAATATATATATATATATATATATATATATATATATATATATATATGTGTGTGTGTGTGTGTGTGTGTGTGTTTTTTGGTTGTTCATGAGATGCTAGTCAATATGTGCACGGATTACACTGAGGTTTGATAGGTGACAAGTAAACCTACGAATGAGTGTAGCACGTGTAGATTGCGTAAGAATTGAATGATATTTTTTATTGCTGATATTGGACATGCAATCTCCCAGAGCGTATATATAATAATATTTCACACACACACACACACACACACGCACACACACACATTTTTCGGTACACAGTTCTAACCATGTTTCAAAATGGAAGTTGAAAGCTTCGAATTTAATTTCGTAATTAAATTAAAGACATTAGTTCAAGTGAATTTTGGAGTAACTTTTAAAATTACTGGGTTTTAAAGACACAGCAAAAATCATAATTCACGTTTCCAAGGATAGAGAGAAATCCATTCAACCAGACAAGGGGTGTTTGCGTGTTCATTATCGCTGTATTTTGATGTATCAGTTACGTTTTGGTAGGGGTTGGAATGTATTTTTCAATGAAATCTGACATCCGTTAAATGCATGTCGTCTGTTTTTTTAAATAAATTTTATTGTTAACGACAAAAATTCTTACGGCATTTTTTTTTCTATTTGTATATTTAAAGATTTTTGGGGGTTGTTTAGGTTAGAATACGTTTAATTTAACTACGATTTGAAAAATATTTTCACTTTTAATTTTTAATATACTATATTTCTTTTAAGAACATGTGAATGTATTAGAATCACTTACAGTATGTAGAATTATTTCCACATCAAGTATGTATATTAATAGGTCACAATTTTTTAAAAATTTATATTTAAATATTATGTAAGTAAAATTCATGACAATGACGGCAAAAATAGCTAATTAATTTCACTGATTTAGTAAACTTTTATTTTTTATATAAACCTAGTAATATATTGTTTCTCATGTAGGTACAAAGGACATGGGTCATTCAATGGTTTACATATTCTAGCTTTTCATATTAATTTCATTTTACTATAGGCATTTTAAGTGTTTGTAGTACTTTGAGGGGGGTGTTAGATTAGAATACGTTTTATTTAACAACAATTTTAAAAGATGTTTAGGTTATAATTCGTTTTATTTAACTACAATTTTAAATACAACTTTAAAATATTTTCACTGTCAGTTTTAATAGACTATATTTCTTTTTAAAAGAAGTAAATGTATTAGAATTACTTACAGTAAGTAAAATTATTTTTCCATACCAAGTATAAGTATGTATATTACTATATTTAAAATTTAATATTTAAATATTATTTAAGTAAAATTTATGACAATTACAGCAAAATAGCTAATACATTTCTCTGATTTAATAAACTTCATTTTTTTTTAAAACTTAGTAATATATAGTTTCTTATGTATGTACAAAGGGCATGAGTCATTCAATGGCCTACATCTTCTAGCTTTTCATCATAATTTAATTTTTCTGTAGGTGGTTTTTTGGATTCATTTAAGTGCCGGTAGTACTTTGAGAGAGGTGTTTAGGTTAGAATACATTTTATTAAACTACAATTTTAAAAGATGTTTAGGTTGGAATTGGTTTTAAATACAATTTTAAATACAACTTTAAAATATTTTCACTGTTATTTTAATAGACTATTTTTTTAACAAGTAAATGTAATAGAATTACCTATAGAATATAAAATTATTTTTCACGTTAAATATAAGTATGCATATTACCTGGTCGCACTTTTTAAATTTATTTTTATTTTTAAATATTATTTAAGGAAAATTTTTGACAATGACGGCATAAAATAGCTATTTCATTTCTCTGATTCAGTAAATTTTTATTTTTTATAAACTTAGTAATATATAGTTTCTCATGTATGCATAGAGGACATGGGTCATTTAATGACCTACATATTCTAACTTTTCTTAGTAACTTCCATTTTACTGTAGGTGTTTTTTTTTATTCTTTTAGGTGCCAGAAGTACTTCTATTTATTTATCCTAAATGAACTTTGATGTTGGTTGAATCTTTTTTTGAACTCATGGCTAGTGCAACCTATATATATTTTTATGTTTTCAGGATTTTCAATTGAAGAGATATTGCATTGGTATACTAATGATTCAGTGCGACGTTTATTTTGTAGAGGGCAATTATGAGGGTTTCTACAGTTACATAATTTTTGTTTATCTTCATCAGTTTTTATTTTTATTTTTACATTGTCTAAATTTTTTTGGTTTTGGTATAAGTGTTTATTTAAGATATTAGCATTATGTTTCTTAATAATTTTTTCTAAGTTTTCCGTACAGCTGTAACTCAATTTTAGTATGTTTTTATTGAAAACAGTACTTAGTTTACTTTCACTAGGAAAATGTTTGACTATTAATGTTGGAATTTTTGTCCTAATTTGTTCTTTACCATTTGGTTGTATCGGGGCGTATACCAAATTATTTTTCTACATCTGTTTTTTCTATGCTTTTCATTTTTTATATGAGTTAGTTTTGGGTTTTCGTAGCCACTCTCTTTTAGAGCTTTATTATAGGAATTGATATACTCATCGAAAATCTTGTCATTTGCTGAATTTGTACTTATTTTTTTTACTGATAGATAACGGTATATGTTCAATTATAGATTTGGAGTGATTTGATTTAGGATGTATATATAAAGGATTGGTATTGGTTTTTTATAAGGTGTGTATGTATTTTTATCTAAATCTAATGTTATATCAAAGAAGTTTACTTTCTTTAATTTAGTGCTAACCATAATTTTTAAGTCCATGCTTTTAAATTCTTCATATAATACCTATCTAATTTTATGTTTTGAAGTTGAGTTTCTAATAACGCTAATCTGGTTTGTGTTCCTTTAAGGTTATGTAGCATTGTTTTTGATATAGTTGCCCTACTCTATCACTGATCTTTAGTTTATCAGTGATTTCCTTACTGCTAGTATTGATATTCCGAACTATGTTGAGGTCATTTTTATTCGCTTTCTTGTAGTTCTTATGCAAGTCCTTATTTATTAGGTCGTTGTATTCCTTTATGGTTGTTTTATAAAAGTTTCCAGTTTTGTCGAATTTTACTAAAATTTTATCTGTAGCATTAATGTCTATTTTATCTAGGCGTTTCTGGAAGTAGCATTTCTTATCATGGCAATTTACGTTGTTTATTGTTTCCAATAGGTTCTTTTCGAAAGCGGACAAACTATGAATAAACGGTGCTGCTTTTCTACTGTTAAAACCGTAAGTTTCTTTGTAGTTTTTGTTTTGGGATTCGTTCTTATTAAGGAAGTAGTAAGCTCTCCATCTCATCCTTTGTATCAGTTCATCTGTTTTTTTTGCATTAATATCACGAAATATTCCTTTTTGTTGGTATTAGGAATGTTCTTCAGAGAAATTCCGAAATTTATTTTCTCCATATTTTCTTCTTGTTAAAATTTGCAAAAATAAAAATATCTATAAGAACACCGGATTATATATCTTACTGTTCTTACTTTTTATTTATTTACACACACACACACACACACACACACACATATATATATATATATATATATATATATATATATATATATATATATATATATATATATATATATAAAATAAAACTTATGGGTGTTCATTGTGTTCCTGCTATCAGTGTGGCTGGTTCTACAAAGCGTTCATCACTCTAATTTTCTGTGTTAGTAGTCTGCAGTTCAGGTCTGCGTTCCATCTCTGTTATTCCACCTGAGCAACGAGTCCACTGGCGAGAAGAGTTAAAGTGACAGAGACAGGTATAGAATATTACTGGAAGTCTCCCGTAGTGGCGACCATCGATTGATGGCAGTTCTTGTACAAAATCCTGAGCATTTGTGTTGTTTGTGTCCTCAGACGGTGACAATGCGGGTTTATTATACATAGCACTGCTTTTTCCAATCCGGTTGTTGGTGGTGGTGGGGGGGGGTCTAGAAAATTTGCTCTAAAAATTGCTTGCTCTTAATCAACTTGGCATCCAGCTGCAGTTGTCTAGTTGTCCAACATCGCAGTCGCAATAATCGATTTAGTAGACATAAAACTCGCAAACGTATTAACCTCGAGTCTTAGAATGTAAGATCTCTCCAAGACAACAAATTTTCTC